AATTAGTATTAAGTCCAAAGATAGTTAATTTCTGTTTTGTTAAAATTAATTAAAATTATAATATAATATACATCTAAAAAATTACACCAAAAATATTCAAGATCATACCAAACTTAATAAGGAATTTACAATATTTTCATTAAAATAAAAAATGATATTATACCAAATTTAATTAGAATCTTAACATTTTTCTCGAATTATAATTAAATAATATCGATAAAATAAAAGTTAAATCATTTAAAAATTCATACATTGTTATGATATTTTCAAATTTAATTTCTCAAGCAGAAATATATTTTCAAAACATCATATGCAAACTTGTTGAAAATGAGGGTTTGAATAATTAAACATTTCATAAAACTCAAAATGTATTTAAATAGTATGAACAAAGTCATCAAAACTAAACCGAAAAACCAAATAGTATGCAAACATAATATGACATCAATGATACTCAAATCACTCAACTACTCAATCAAAATCATGAAAATCATATATTATTTTTCTTGCTATTGAATTAACAGTTTTGGTTTGTCTTCTCCATAAGTACGATTTGTCGATAAAACGTTAAATGAATCAGATTTGGGCGCATACAATTGTAGTACATAAAAATATGTTAGTTGATCAACTAAAATGTAAAAACGAAATTTAATAAGTGTAATATTCTTCGTAGAAGAATGTTACCTGATTGATGTTAATTTTTTTTCCAATTCAACAATATTCGTATTATCACCAGTGAACGTTAAGATTGCATAACGATCAACTTTGTTCTTCAAATTATCATGTGAAATTTGAATTTTGACTGTCAACTTTTTATCCAAAAGTCCATTCAAAGCAAATGAATAAATCTCGATATTACCCTCCTAAAATAAATAAACAGTTATTAAAATAGATGGACTAAAAGTAAAAAATTAGTTTTATGTAAATGAAGTTAATATCGATAATCTAATTAAACTTTTGAAGCAACCCTATACCGGTAACGTCTTGTACTTTTGAAGTTAATATCGATAATCTAATTAAACTTTTGAAGCAACCCTATACTTATGAATAAACTTTTCAGAAGTTTCTTTACGATCAAATAACGTAAGTAATACTATACCGGTAAACTTTAATGGTGATTTTGAAATTAAAACCATTGATATAAACAAATTTAGTAATATAAAATTAGAAAATTTAACTGAAGATTATAATAAAGTTTGTGATAATGATACGATGAATTCAAATAGTATAGAAAAGATAATTCACAATGAAGGGTTGTAATTTCATGGACTTACTTGAGTTATTATACTTTTGTTGAGAGGACGTGAATATCTATATCCCAATTGCAATGAGTTGATCAGATGATAGAATTGAAAAAAACATAATTGGAAAAGGAATATACAAAAAGTGATAAATCGCAAAAAGATGATATTTAGGTAGGGCTGATCAGACGGTAGACAATCCGATCGACCATCCAGGGCCCACGTCTTCAGGGCCCCAAAATTTTGTAGGTTATGTAGTGTGTGTGTGTATATATATATATATATATATATATATATATATATATATATATATATATATATATATATATATATATATATATATATAAGAATTAATACTTAAATGATTTTTAGGGGTTAAAGTTTGTTCAAACTCAAACTAGTTTAAAAGATAAACAATTTAATTTGCTTGTTATTGCTAATTGTATGCATTTATAGTGAAGAATAAATGATTTTTTTAATCTTTATGATATTTATTTATCTTTAAAGGGCTCTTTTTTATTTTCACTCCGGGCTCCATATACGTTTGGATCGACCCTGTATTTAAGAAACGATTTGTTGATGATTATATACAACTGTAATATTTATCAAGTTATCAAAAAATATGTAATTATTGCCCTTGTTTTAGGAGATAAAGATGTAAATTCTTTAAATGTAAATTTATCTACCTGTTTGTTAAGGGATTTTAATTTATCTATTTGATTTATGGATTTGTATGGAGATTTTTAAGGAAAGTAACAGCTGATATGTAGGATATTATTTAATCTTTTAATTGTGGAATATGTATCTCGTTTGAATTAACATTTACTTCCTTTATTAAATTAAATTCCTCATTAAATTGAGGTAAAAGGTTATGATTATTAAGCGTTCATTTTATGGGATTGATATAAGACTCTATTATGAAAGTGAACGAGTATTAAAGGTAACACCGTAAGTTACCTTTAGACATGGTAACGATTGATGGAAAAAAGAGTTTTTACCAAAACCTTGATAGATGGTGTCACAAAGTGGTCTAAGAGTGAAAAATCTATGATCGAAATACAATCAATGGTCCTGATTGTTTAAAATGATACCATAAAGTTTATCTCTTAATAATATTTAGAGATATGATTATTTTAATACAAAATAAATATCTATAAAATTCCAATGCAATGAATGAACGATTAAGTTCCGTCCAGGTTGTATGTGGACATATATGATATTAGGAGTATGTTAGATTTTTCGTTCCATAATAATAATAATAATAATAATAATAATAATAATAATAAATAAATGATTAACTATTTCTTGATTAAGACGATCCATGTCAGTTAATGCAAACAAATATTTCGTTTTGATTCTTTACTCAACTTGTTTAACTTACTATTTCAATGAAATAGATACATTTGATATATATAGTTAAACACATCTGCTAATTTTTCATGTCTAATTAGATATTATATTTTGTTAAATAGATTATATATTAATTTGGTCACAACAACACGCGTGGTGACGAGAATCCATGCGATCAGAAGCCAAAATTGAATATCTGGCTCGAAATTTGTCTTTGCGTTTGTTATCACATGTAACATGGGTTCATATTGAATAGAATATGATGCTGCCTTGGGATTCTTTTATCATTTTATAATTTTTATTTATTGATACTTGACAAAATCAGATAGTATACATATTTAGCTCATGGATTATAGTTTTTTTTTTTTTGGCATAAATATTATTTAAAAAATACTAATATAATATGAAGATGACACTTCACACTTCTCACATATATACCTAAAAACAAGTGAACGTAACTTATAAATATAACTATAGATGGAACTGGTCAAGAGAGTTAAATGTCATAAAAAAATATACTTGGAACAACGTTAACTCTTTATCCATGATTTTGGACGAACATGTTGAATAAACTCCAAATCCACAAGGGCCACAATGGGTAGAGTTGTTTTAAAACAGTCCATAATAATTTTAAAACATACCAAGGTCCAAGGCCACCTACCCTTAAATAGATGATCTGGCCCGTTTAGTCGTGAACTGAGCCCAACGGACTGGTAAAGTTCGTAAGAAAAAACGGACTCAGTCAAGAAGATGATGACCTGTTTAATTTGGCCCCATTTAAATAAAATAAAATAAATAAGAATAGTTAATTTAATGCATTATAAACATTAAAATATCATTTAATCATTGATAAATTAGATATTTTCTATCTTTTCTTTTTTGTTTATCTTTCTATCTATAATATAAAATGATGACAAATATCACATTTTGATAACATTAATAATATTTTAAAATATTTGTTATCATTTCTTATAGAAAAATAATGAGTAAATTACTGAAATCGTCCTTATGGTTTGGTTAAAATTGCAAGTTTGGTTCTTAATTATTTTTTTCACTCGGATCGTCTCTCTGGTTTGATTTTGTTATGTTTTTCATCCTTCGCATACATAAAATTAAGGACCAAACGTGCACTTTTGACCAAACCATAGGGATGAAAAACACAACAAAATCAAACCACAAGGACGATCCAAGTACAAAAAAAAAAAAAAAAAAAAATTAGGAACCAAACATGCAATTTTGATCAAACCATAAAGACGATTTCAATAATTTACTCAAAAATAATTAAAAAGAAAAACAGTAGGATACTTAATTTCTCATTAATTATATGTCATGCTTATAAATATATAAAGTCAATAACTACCAATCACGCATGTTTATGACAAATTAGCTTACAAAATTTATAATAATTGCAATCTCTCTATTCTAATAAAAAATAGTTTTATTCTCCTTTTAACATGTATCACTATATTGGGTCTTATAAGTAATGCATATTTCCATTTGTCATTTTATTATGTTTTCTAATTAATGCATGTCACTTGTCAACCTATTGATTTTCCATTTTAAATTTCAAAATTTAAATTTTTTCACTCTAGTTACATTAAATTAAAAACATTAGAATAAAAATTAAATAAAATTAACACATTATAAAGTGATATAATTTTATATAATTATCTAAATGAATGATTATAATTTTATATATTTATTAAAATAAATGATTAATAATTTTGAGTATTTACTATTAAAGTTTAATTAATTTTGTAACCATGGTTCTCACGGATTATAAACTAGTAAATAACTAAATAAATGGTCTATAAAAAATATGAACAAAACTGATCACTACCAATCATGCATAAAAGTTTTAATGTTATTAGGTTGGTGGGCGTGGTCGTCACACTACCCCTCCACCACCTCATCCACAATCTTCACACCACATTGAGGGTGTCGTCTCATGAGAAGAGAGCATAAAGAGGACCGCGAGAACAAGGGTTTGATCAATCGTGATGAGAGTCACTGCTAAGGGGTAGTGTTCACGTTGTGATTGTGCTCCACCTCAGCATCAACAAATTGCGTATACCATATTGCCATATTATTAGTCGTTAACAAATTGTTCTACAAACCAATCTAAAGGATTAGTTAGCATGCCATATTTGATGGTAGTTGATATAAAAGTTTTTGAGAGAGCAATAGACATAGTACTTTTAATTATATGTGTTTTACAAGGTTGATTATTTAAATGTACCGAAAAATCACATGAACAATGATGTGTATATAAAATCACCAAAAGATTTATGAATGATTTTGAGTGTATAAATGCATTAAATGAACAAAAAAGATTTACAATTGATTTTGAGTATACAATTATGTTGATAGATTTATGATTATTTTTTATTATTTAAAATGTATCAAAATGTTGCAACTATGGATTTAGTATTGGAAACTCAAGCAAGCCAATCACCATTACAACCTTTGTATCGATTAGACATCCAACTAGAAGAAATAAATAAAACAATGAACTAGAAAATACATATCATTCACTAGTAATTTGTGAGTATGACCTAAATCAAACAATCGTTATATCCAACATTCACTAGAACATGATCGCTATATATCCATCATCTCTAGTACTAATGTGTCATCTAACTTATTAGGAGTTACATCAAATCTTTCAAAAAAAAAATTTAGAAACAAACGACTTATTAGCACTTGAATTAAATAACACTCACGCACGTAAAAGTTAATAAAAATGTACCTATAACAACATCCGATATCGTAATTGCCTCCTCATCCATGATCATTTGAAACTCACATCGCTTAACACATAAAATCTCGTTCTTCTTTCACAGTTCCTCTCCTACACCTAACCACTTCCACCTTCGAACAAGGCTCTCGTTTCTTCAACTTAGGATAATCAACCCTCACATGTCCAACCAATGAACACTCGTAACATATTTTATTTTTGTGGTTATAGTCCCAACTAAACTGATCATCACCTTTCCCACACCGACAGCACTCCACAACCTCGGGAGTGCATTCCCTTATGTGCCTCTGGTTGTACTTCTCACACCACTTTGCATCTCTTTGTTTATCGAATTTCCTACTACCACCTTCAATTTGGAGCTTTTTGGATGATTCATATGTTCGATCATCCCGTTTCCTTTTAACAACACTACTCATTTCGTGTTTCTGAAAGTTTAGTTCCTTCTCTCTTTCTTTAGCCGCTTCCACAACTTGTCTAAAAGTGGCCAAGTCGCGATTTGAGACAAACTCACGAATGTTCGCCCTTAACCCCCATACATACCTTTTAATCTTTTTCTTTTCAGTAGGGATTTGGTGCTCTACAAACCTTGCTTTTTCCATGAACCTGTAAGTGTAATCAACCACAGAAGATTCCCCTTGTTTAAGTGTCAGAAACTCTTCCTCAATCTGATCCAATGCACTTTCTGAAATGAAATCTTCCTTGAACTTCGCAATGAATTGACCCCATGTAAGTTGTCCCACAATCCCCTCTCCAAGCATACCACTAACCATGTCCCACCAATATAAAGCTTCATCCTTCAACATTGTCACTGCATACATGACCTTATCACCTTCAGAACACTTGCTTGTTTTGAACACATTTTCCATTTCTTTCAACCACCTCATACTAATCACAGGATCACCACTTCCCTTAAACTCTGGTGGCTTACAACTCAAGAAATACTTATACGAACACCCATCTTTTTGGTTTGTTTCATCACCTCTTTGTTGCTCGATTTGTAACTGATCCATGTTTTCATTCACCTCTTCGGTTCTCCTGTTCACATTCAATCGCTCTTCCATCATCTTTGCAATGATGTCCCGATTTTGTTCCACAATCATTGGAACAGCCTCACGAAGGGCTCGTGAAACCTCTTCAGCAATTGTGGCCCTTAAGTCCACTTCCTGATTGGTATTCCTTGCTTGTCGACTAGGGCCACCAACCTGCTGAGGTGTACTTGCACTAGTCGTCATTGCCTCTTGATTACCATACCCAAGACCACTTCTTGTTTGGTGAGACATGTATGCTAAACTGAAATGCAACATGGAATCATTATTGGTGATTTATGTGATATAGATAAACTACATGAAATTGATTTGATTAAATTAATTTATTAACATGGAGTAAATATTTAACGGATAACTTATATGATTAGAAAACCATACAAGTATATTGTGATGATTTGTGTATTTTGTAAAAACGAATGAATAAGATCACTAAACAAACACATTATGACCCACGTATCTTTTAAATTAATTTGTATAATTATACTCTATAGAAACTAAACCACGTTTTTTATCAATTTATTCTTAAAAGTACAAGATAATTCTTATAACTTAAATAACTTCCAAAATGTAAAGATAAAGCTTATACCTTAGCTCAGATAGCTTGTAATCCTTGCTTAACGATTTGTACTTCGAGCTTCCAGCACTAATTCTCTCTGTTTTCGAATGTTGATGGAAAAACAGGATGGGTTCTCTATTTATAGTAACTCATTCCAAGTTTCAACGCCCACTCAATTCCTAGGCCCACCACACCTCATGATCCCAAATCAATCATATGCGTATTTTACAAATCACAAAAGGGAACATGCAGTTAGTGGATTGAATGTCAGGGGCAAAATTAATTCGAATCCAAATAGATATATCTTATAATAAGGCATAAACACTTTTCTTACATTTTTTAGAAATTTTAATGGATTGAGTATGATTAGAAATTATATTTTGTTATTATAATAATCGAAATATTTAGGTAAGAACGATTAGAAGGTTTTATGGACTTTTAACATGTTTGGCTTATTTAATCCGTTTTTTTAGCTAATTTTTTAGTTTGATCTTTTTGAAATGAAACATTTAACGACATATTTATAAGAAAACATATCGAAATTCTCACATGTAACCAAAATAAAATGCATGGATGATGGATCATGCCATTTGATAACTTGTCATGGTTTAATCATCACGTTAGCAACAATTACGTAATTATTGCATTTCGGTACTTAATTTGTCATATTCTCATATGTACTCATAAAATACAACGGTGAATCAAGCAATGCCACTTTGGAAGTATAATTTATAAACACATGATATGTGTATTTATCACATCATATATGTTTCATCACGAGAACAGACCATGTAATCTCTTTAAGCTAGGATAAAATGAGGTAAACATCGACAGACATGTCTTATAATAAGAGATAGAATGATCGTGTCACATTGATGACCTACGTCATCATTCTGAGACCTGCAAATAAGGCAAGAAAAAAGGGAGAATAACTCAATGTGGGTATTAAAAATGTTACACAACAACAACAACAATAATAATAATAATAATAATAATAAATAAATAAATAAACCTAGATGATTGTTAGGCTACTCATTTAATATGATATTCAACCTTTACACCCTGATATCTAGGTCATCTAAAAGAGCTAGGTCTTTCATGTGAGACCCTCCTATCTAAGGCAATGCCCTCCGAAACACTATATCATAAATTTATAATTCATAAATCATTGTCTTGACATCCATGAGTCATCATATATATAATCTCGTCATCAAATTGCTATAAATAGTCTCCTTGTTTATTATTATTATTATTATTATTATTATTATTATTATTATTATTATTATTATTATGAATGTTACATTGTTAACCATCCTAAAAAAAAGCATTACATGTTTCATGATAAAGTATCGACTACACATCTTTATCACTTTATAACATGTCTTTATCACTTTATGAGAGATATATACATATTTGTTACTTAAGTCACATAGGTTGGTGAATAACACGGTTATATGCATAAACATGAAATCATTGTAAAAACATGTAAAAATCACTTTATGTGTACATAATGGTTTTAATATGTTAGGATCACCACCTTTGCACCCTCACCGACACCACGGCTTTCGTCCAATATAGTCCTATTTAAAAGGATCATGCAACTTTTTAACAAATGCATCCATATGAATCATCACTTTCACTTTGAAACATGCAAAACACATCGTTTTCATGTATTTATCATATGTTAGTTTCAAAGCACATGATACATCTATTATCTATAGTCGATTCGATTTGCTCTTAGATTATCACCATATTTAATGCAACAATTCTGACTTATATATTCATTAATGAATCGGATTCTAGGTTATCTTATCTCCAAGAGGAGAAATAAGCAAAATCATAAAATTAAGCTAAAACGGGTTAAATTAATGGATTACATGGACCTAGAGTGGCCCAACTTTACTTTTTGTGTCTCCTATTAGGTTTAGAATTAGCGGTTACACCGATCAATTTGGTCCGATCTTTTTTCAGATGGTCTAAAAGTGGTTTTTCTTTGTTTTGTTCTTTTTTAGGTCCAATCTTTTTGGTTCGGTCTCGGTCTTTTTTGGTTTGATCTCTCGGTCTTTATATTCACATTTTTTCGTTTAATTATGAGTTTTTTTTTTCTCAGGGTTTCTTTTAACAAATGTGTGATCACCATCAAAATAATACATTAAAATTTAATTAAAAAAAATAGAAGAAATGGGTTAACTTGTGATTAACACAAAATTGATATGTATATAAAATTTGACTTATGGTCTTTTTTGAGACTGGTCTTAAGACGATCACCGACCGGTTTTCAATCGGTCCTGAAATGGTCCAGTATTTACGGGACCGACCCCTTCTTTTTTTTAGACATGTCTCGATCACATTGTTTTCGGTCTAATCTTTTTGCAATGGTCTTTTTTTGGTTCGGTTTTATTATAGATAGGTCCGGTATCGATCTTTTTGTTCATGTATGATTAGGTTGTTTTGTTTGAAAATGTTATAGTATAATTTTAATAATACAGTTTTGGTAATCATAATTAATATATTAAGTATTTATAAAAGGATTGAACAATGCAAACTTTATTTTAAACAATGTCTTATTTTAGCGTTTTAGTAATCCAATTCAATCTAAATTTTACTAAATATTATTATTCAGTTTATCACTTCAGAAATTCAATTTGTTATTAAATATTATTTTTATAGTCTTTTTTTTATTATTTTTAAGGTTTGGATTTTATTGTTTTTATTATAAAGCATAGGATTTTATTGTTTTTTGTTATTTTTAACATCCAGATTCCGAATGCTTTTACAAATATATTGATATTGATCTATATTTACAAAATAAATAAATAAATAAATTATTGAATTTCCATGGCTATTGCTTCTTATTTTTGAAAAAAAAATAATATAATTCATTCATCATCCCTAATAAATCAAAATCTTTTTGTCATATGTTCTCTTCTCCTTTATTTGAACATATGACATTTTCTAGAATTTTTGAATTTTTTATTTTTCACTTGTCATTTTATTATATTTTTTCATTTTCTTAAATTAAAATTGCATATTTAATATGTAAAGTAATATATATGTAAGATATTTATTAGAAAGAATATATATATATATATATATATATATATATATATATATATATATATATATATATATATATAATGTATTCAATGTATTAAAACCTCATTAATAATTCAAAATTTTTCTTATTTTTCTTATAAATTCAAACTTATTTTTTTTTAGAAAAAAACAAATATCATTAAAAGGGGCACTCTCATAGCAAGAAGCTACAATGAGACCAAGTACAAACATGAAACGGAAATAGGAACAGTAGAGCAAACATGAAAATTAAGATGAAAGACGAGTGAAATGTGAAACGCTCCATTCAACCCAATTACCACAACTAGTGTCACCTCGATGCTTGCACCATATATACGAGAGCGAAATTATATTATCAACGATTTTTGTAGGATTTGCACCAATATGTTTGAAAATCTTGTCGTTCCTGGATAGCCAAATGTTCCAAACAAGGCAATAGACGACCGTGGTTAAGATCTCCTTTTTTCTAGGAAAGTTTCCCCAAGTAGCCGCGAAGTCAATGAATTCTCTAATATTTGAGAACATAATGTCTTCCAATCCACACCATTTGAATATCCAATGTTGCACCACTCTAGAATAGCCACAAGTAATGAGCAAATGATCAGCCGTTTCAGTTTCTGTGCTATAGAGAGAGCATAGGGTACTGTAGGTATATATCCCCCTTACAACCAATGTTTCAGCCACTGGTATTCTACCTAACACCGACCTCCACATGAAACATCTCACCTTCAGAGGAATTATCTTTGACCACCAAATTGTCACCCCTTTAAAAGGATTCAGTTTAGGCTCTGGTGGTTGTCGAGGCCAACACAAATAATAACCCTAAATATTACACACTAAAATAGTATATAGTGGTAAAGGGATCGAATCCACGGAGATTGGTTCAATTTATAACTCTATGAAAAATCTCTTTGTAAAAATACTTGGAAATGACAATAAATTAAAAATGGGGGTTTTGATGTTTTGAAATATTTGAAACAAACTAGAATTAACTATGAATTAAATAGATAATTTCAACAAAAATAAGGATTTGATGTAAAATCAATAAGGGAGAGATGGTTGACTTAAAGTTTCCTTACTTTGACTTTTGATGAACATATCATTAGAATCCAATGGTGCAATACTTTGATTTAAATCCTTAATTTGGCTATAGTAATCCAAGGAGCTTGAGATTACCTAGACTTTTCTTAATTGTTGAAATGGCTAGAGAAGCTCATAACAATTTCCTTAGTCAAAGTCACTAATTCCAAATAGCATATAATTAGTGAAAGTCAACTAGCATTAAGAACCAAAAAGTCACCAATTCCAAGAGGAGTCAATTGCTTTCACTACCATGTTGGAGGAAATGTTTTTATGATTATGTGAAGCAAAAACAACACAAAAATCACTTGTTGCTTGCTAATTTGAGGATCCTTTACTTAATCAAGAAATTAGCTAACTAATCACCACAAACACATATTAAACTCATGAATAAAAACATACTAGTAGTGATAACATGATAAAATACAAAACATTTCCATAAAGATTTATGAACAAGTTCATGGATTCTTCAACATTCAACAAAAGTTCAAAGAATTCAACAAAAAGTCAACCAAGCTTAGTTTAGCCAAGCATGACTAAACTCACAGAAACAAAGTTAGTTAAGATTGTACCAAACATTTGACAAGAATCAAGAGATGAAAAAGAAGATATTCTTCAAGTGTTCTTGGTCTCCAAAAGTGCTCCAAACTCCAGAGAGAAAGTATCAAAATCGGACCTCCAAGATGATGCTAAAGAGGCACACCAACCTTCCCAATATAGAGCTCTTAGCAAAATCCCGAAATTGCCCTTGTCAGGAATCCACGCGGGCCGCGGATAATCTTACGTGGGTCGCGGGCTTCAACGGGATTTTTGGGTTTCTTCAAGTCTTTGGCCCCCAAAGCTAATCCATTGGCCCAGTTCGAATCCAAGCAGTTCCTAGTCCATTTTTCTTCAATATTTCTTCAACTAAAGCCCAATTTATCTTTCCACATCACTCAGAACTTCCGCAAACTCTTAAACATCGATCTTGCACACTCAAGAATTCTCTCGCGCCCTTTTAAATTTAAAGTTCAACACTTCTGCGCCTTCAAGCAATCGACAAGCCTACTCCATGGATCACCTCCAAAGCTATCAAGCATGACATCCCCACTGCTCTTCAAGTCCAATCGGCTTCCAAAAGATCCCGCATACTCCCGTTCCTCTAGTTTCCTTAAAATCTGCAATAATGTTCAAGAAACTAGAAAGTACCAGAAATGGTCATAAAAATAACAAAAAGGAAAATATGCATGGAAATTAACTAAAATGCGAATGGAATGTGCTAAAGAAAACTATAAAAAGAAGTAAATAAAATGAAGCTATCACGCTCCAATAATTTCCTCATTGAATTCACAGTATATTCACCACTAGGATTAAGAGAAAAATTGAACCCAAATTTGGATTTTTGCTCGGTATTCAGGTTACCAATATTCGTATATAGATGTAGCAGTTCGTTTAATTCTTCTGAACCAGTTGGTTCACATCTCCACATCCATGAAAAGCCCTTGCTAGAAATTCTATCTCCCAATAAATAGTTTTTAACTGTTTCGATTGAATATAAGTGAGGGAATTTGAGGTGAAATGGAATGTTACTGCACCAAGAATCTTTCCAGAATAAGATGTTGACATCCGAACCTGGGATAAGGGAAAAAATATCCTTGCAATCAATATGCAGACTATCAAGAGCTCTAACAGCCTTGGAAATATTACACCAAACTCCATTTGATGTTTTTCTAGCGATGTACGATGTCGGTTTGTTGTACAAATTGTGGATGCTCACAATAACACCTTTCCATAAACTTCCTTTGTCATTCATAATTCTCCATCACCATTTTATTAATAGGGCAATGTTTTGAGCGAATACCGAACCAACACCTAAACCCCCTTCCGATTTTGGCGCAATAACTTTGGACCACTCAACCCAGTGAATTTTCTTTTTAAGCTCACTGCCTCCCTATAAGAATCTCTTTCTGATCTTATCAAGTTGATCAATGATTCCCAATAGAGCTTTAAAGAGGGACATGCAATATGTAGGGAGGCTATCCAGGACAAATTTAATGAGGGTGAGGCGGCCACCAAACGACAACGAAGTGGCCTTCCAACTTGATAATTTAGATGAGATTTTATCTAGAACAGGCATCCAGTTCTTCTTCAGAGCCATGTTGGCACCAACCGGGACCCCTAGATAAGAAAATGGAAATTCTCCACGTAAACAACCAAGAACCTGAGCAGTATCACACAATGTTGCCTTTGTTACTCCCACACCAAATAAACATGATTTGAAGAAGTTGACTTTTAGCCCTGAAGAAATATGAAAACATTTCAGGATACGAGATAAGTTTTTCATGCAATTACAGTCCCATTCCCCAGCGAATATTGCATCATCAGCATAGAAAAGGTGTGAAACTGAAGGGTCATCTCTAAGTAATTTGACCCCATGCAGTAGCGATTTTTCACATGCACTCTTTATAGCGATATTCAGTCCTTCCATGTCCAAGATAAAGAGGAACGCTGACAGAGGATCACCATGACGAACCCCTCTAGATATTTAAAATTCATCGGTTAGTATTCCATTTACCAAGACAGAAGCTTTTGCACAGGATAGACAACTTGAAATCCATTTTTTCCATTTACACCCGAAATTCATTTGATCCATTACACAGTCCAAATATCCCCAGTTATTTGAATCAAAAGCTTTTTCAAAACGACCTTGAATAGAAACAATTTTTTCTTTTGCTGCTTTGCCCATGAAACCAATTCATTCATCACCAGAGGTCCATCGAGTATGTGTCTGTCTTGAATGTAAGCCGACAATACATCATCCACCACTGACCCGATTACTTGTTTTAATCGGTTTGCAAGTAATTTTGCCACCACTTTATACATGCAACCTATAAGACTGGTGGGGCGGTAATCACTAAGGGTTAATGGATCATACACCTTTGGGATAAGAGTGATGTTTGATGAGTTACAACCTTCAGCAAGAGATCTAGTGGATTTGAAGTATTTGACAAAACAAATTATATCCTCCCCAATCGAATCCCAATTTGCTTTTAGGATCTTGAAGGTGTACCCATCAGGTCCAGGTGTCTTATCCCCACCACAATGCCAGACAGTAGATTTGATCTCTTCAATAGAGAACTCCGATTCAAGAAAGGAGGATTGGGCTAAAGAAATTCGCTTAAAATTGCTGTTAAGGAACTTTTTTCTGATAGGCCAACACTCACGAAATTTGTTAGCAAAGAAGTTGAAATTTTCAGATTTAATTGTCAGCGGATTTGTGTTCCATTTACCATTTATGTTGAGGCCATGAATTTTATTTTTTCGTTTCTTATGTTTGAGGCTGCCGTGAAAGAACCGAGAATTTTCATCACCATCAATGACCCATTTGATTTTGGATTTCTGTTGAAGATCAAGTTTCACACACCGCTCAAGCTCCATAATTTTATGCATATCTTCCTGCCTTGACAGTCGTTCTACATCATCAGTAAGTACCCGGGATTCAGCAATTGAGTCCAAGATTTCCACCTTCCTTTTAAGTTGAAATAAAGTTAAGTGCTCATCACTAAATTTTTGCTTGCTCCAACCTCTAATGACATTTTTAATGAATTTGAGCTTTGCAACGAGGAAACGATCCAGGGTGCCAAAACCCTGAAAGGATTCCCATGAACTTTTGAACAACACATTGAAATCGTCAATTAGCAACCAATAGTTAAATAGTCGGAACGGGGGAGGCCCAAAATAACCGGCTGAAGGTTTTAGAATAAGAGGAGAGTGATCAGAATATTCCCGAGAATATGCAGTGACACAAGTGAGCGGTTGAAAATTAATGAAGTTTGAACAAACATGGAACCGGTCAATTTTACTTAATTCGTTGCCATCATCACGCATATACGTGAATTTCAAACCTCCCATATTGAATTCATGCAAGCCTGCATCGACGATGAATTGATTGAAATCTCTAGCTGATAATCTGCAAAAAAAAAAAACGGAGTTGAACCTTTCATGCGCAAATCTGACTACATTAAAATCACCAAGAAAGATCCAAGTGCCTGCATTCTCATTTTTCAAGGATGTGAGTTCAAACCAAAGTGTCCGTTTCTCTGTGGTGGATTGAGGTCCATAAGCGTTCACCAATGTAGTCACACCTGGTACACCTTTCCAATGACCAGAGATCGCGATCTAGTTCCTTGTTTTGATACTGTTGAGTTAAAAAAAATATATGGATCTTAGATGCAAGCTAGACCACCCGATCTACCAGTAGGATTTACTGCATCAAAATCAAAATGTGTAGACCCCCAGCAACCAGCAAAATCGATTCCATTATAGTCCATGACTCTTGTTTCTTGAATCCCAATAAAGTCAATCTGATGCACATGCTTGAGCTTTCTAATCCATTCCACCTTATAGGATTCACCTATCCCCCCTAATGTTTAGACTTAGGGCATTCATAGAATATTGCTTGTAACCCCAGCTCCTTCGACCACATTGGGATTATTTTCGTCCAAGATGCCTACCTGTATGAGTTTCCCAATCTCGTTGGATGAAGAGCATTCATCCACATCAACAAAAGATGAAGATTATGCAGCCACGTTTAAGTCAAGAGAGGGGGCATACGAGTTCAATAATTCATGGCTGGGAGGATACGTGGGAAGAGA